GTCGCTACACCTGCTGCTAGTAACCACAGCGGTGATCTGCCTGCACAGCCTGCACGTCACCCAAGGGGGATGCCTACCAGTAAGGAACCTCCTTGTGTCATACGGAGGAGCACGAGAGACAGGCGACCCCCTGATCGCTTCCGGTTTGATAATTTTCAATAGGAGTGTTTTGAATAATAGTTGGGGAGGGAGTGTCGTATCTGCGTGTGTATGATAACAGCATGCCATGAAGTATGCACTTTTATGTATGACGTCAGAGTGCTGTGCGCCTGCGTCCGGTGTATCTTATCTGTATATATTGAGCCCCGATTTGATGTACCACTAGTTGTTGGTCCCGAGGCTGCCTGTGTTGCACTTCGCAATAAAGTGCTTTGCCAGACTTGCATCCCGGCCCCTAAATGTAACAAGTGCCATGCACACAATATGAGATTTGAAGAACAAACTTGTGTACCAGACGAACTCCAGCAAGCCTTATTCTATGTTATGTAAAAAAAATTAATTTAAACAGTGGGTGCACGGGTCCAAATAGATCAAGTTATATGCACTCTATATTTTAGCTATAATAAGGCAGTTCAATGCAGCAAAAGAGATTTAACCGAGAGACAACCAGAGAGTATTTGATATATCTGACAAGCCATGCAACTGTGACTTTTACAGATTACATTTACAGCAATGTGATTCGTTCAAATCACTTTGGAGCACATGTTGCTGTAGTCAGAAGTCCATTTAGGAGTAGCCCAAAGTACGTTTAGGAGGAGCTAAAAGATGTATTGGCATGTAAGCAAAAACTTCGTCTTTATTCTTACCACTGTGAATATTATCATACTGTTAATGTGTTGGCATGCTCAACTAAAACACTATCTACTTTGCCCTCTTACTCCTGTGCAACCTTTTGTTAACATCAATTGCTTGACAAGTTTGATTCTCTCAAACAAAGCACTATCTGCTTAGTTGCACATAGAAGCACCAGACATGGCAACAACAGTCTGAGTGATGATGGATAGTATGAACTTCTGTGAATGGTGGTTTTAGGTACGGAATCAAAAGTAAAGCAGACAGTACGTACCACTAAAATAAAATAATGTAAAAATAGAAACATTTTTACATTATTTTAATGAACTGTCACAAAACTCAAGGTGATGTTTTGTTACAGTTCTAAAGGTTATAATAAAACACAGATTTCGTCATTTGATTGTGAATATCAATGTCGTATATTTAAGACTTCATAACAAGAATCTGCATGCGAACAATAAATATGCCTTTTAAAAACAATCAAGCCGAATTTGGTAAGGTCATTCCCAAGCTTCTAACCATTCCTCTGGACGGGCAACTGAAAACTGTATAAAGATTCCTCTCATTTTGACAAAATGTATCAGGCTAAGCACTTTGAAGCATTAAGGTGCAGCAATTACATAACTACATTTAGCTGAATAACTATTTAAGAACAGTTCCCGCGTCCAGGTTAGTTTTATTTCTGTTAACTGTATCAGAACCAGGTTGTAACAAACTTACCATGGTCCTTTTGTATTTTTGAATACAGTCACCGCGTTGGCGTTTTTCCTTTTTCTTTCGCCCACCACCTTTGCCCTAGTTTTCCTTGTTTTGCTGAACTTCTGACAGATGCATAACAAGCAACCTTTCTTTTTTCATTTTGTTAATAAGGCTGTGTCGCAGTGAATCCTACAGTGAGACTGATGAGTAGCAAGCCTGTTACAATGCAGATAATGAACTTCGATACAAGCATTTCAATTGTCAGAATGCAAACAAGTTCTTGTAAATCTTCCGCAGCGTCCAGTGGAGTCGGCCAGGAAGGGGTATGCCGCTTGGAGGGCACGCATGACATCATCTAGCTAAGACCGACTTAGCGTTCTGAAAAGAAAAAGCAACAAATGTTAGCCTCTATTTTAAGATATATAAGCGAGGACTTCAAATGCTGCTGCTTTCGGAGTTTTGCTCAGAATGTCGTCTGCCAACGCAGCGACCAACTTTGTTTGTGCTTCATTTCGCTGTGGTTGAAGGAAAAGTTCACTCTTTTCACACAGCCTTTGTAACAGTAGCGAGGAAAATTATGGGAGAGTATATCTCTGTGGCCATACATTCCTTACAACCTCTGTAGACCAAACTGAGGCTGCTGTGCTACTAGCACGAGGCACATTGGAGGGTCCAGGCAAGCTGAAAGATAACAATGTAATTAGTGCACCTCGAATTTCACAAATGGAACGTAAACTTCCAATTGGGTAATGTGCCCCACCTTTCTTTTATGTCTCCTTTTAGCTGTTCAATCAGTTTTAGCAGTTTGACTCGCAGTTTCATAGCAGGGAGCAACTGCTCAGTCATCCACACTGAGAGGTTTAGTAACGTCTTCCCATCAACCTCTTCTGCATAAAAGGAGATAAAATATTGCACATATTTATATCATACACATATGTTATATATGTCAATGACAGAAGTTATACCACATATTTCTACCCTTTTATTCCGATGGTGTACACAGATATAGTATAAAGAGAGTGAAGATGGGGGGGGGGGGGGGGGGGGGGACAACCATAAAGCAGTGGCATGCATCACCCCCACACTGCTTCCCTTTTCTGGTTCCCCGGATCCTCCCTCGGCATCTTTACGTTTCATGTGCTTCCTGGAGCTCTCAAATGCAATAAAATATCGTCCAGACGGAGAGCACTCACCCAACTTGCAAACAGAATTAAAGTCCGGGTGACCATGAGCTATCTGGACATGATTTGCCAGATGACTCCCGATGTGGTAGCACTGCGAAAACTTTCAACACTCGTATCCGCTCATGCTGAAATCGCAAAATTTCATAGCAGGGAGCAACTGCTCAGTCATCCACACTGAGAGGTTTAGTAACGTCTTCCCATCAACCTCTTCTGCATAAAAGGAGATAAAATATTGCACATATTTATATCATACACATATGTTATATATGTCAATGACAGAAGTTATACCACATATTTCTACCCTTTTATTCCGATGGTGTACACAGATATAGTATAAAGAGAGTGAAGATTGGGGGGGGGGGGGGGGGGGGGGACAACCATAAAGCAGTGGCATGCATCACCCCCACACTGCTTCCCTTTTCTGGTTCCCCGGATCCTCCCTCGGCATCTTTACGTTTCATGTGCTTCCTGGAGCTCTCAAATGCAATAAAATATCGTCCAGACGGAGAGCACTCACCCAACTTGCAAACAAAATTAAAGTCGGGGTGACCATGAGCTATCTGGACATGATTTGCCAGATGACTCCCGATGTGGTAGCACTGCGAAAACTTTCAACACTCGTATCCGCTCATGCTGAAATCGCAAAAATGACGAAAAATCTCACCAATCGCCGAAAGACCTGGAAGCAATTCCTCGCTCACAAAACATGTCCAAATATCCACACTGCACTACAAGTTTCATAAAAAAATATTCGCGTGCACATGGAAGTATGGAAGGACAGCGCCGTCGAGACCCCGATCAGCCACCGTTGCCGGCACTCAACTTGGAAACTGAAAACGCGAGACGAAACCGACGCCGCCAACCAACACAAACAAAGAGGACGGAGCATTCTGCTTACCTTCGAATCTGGGCGAAGTCTCCAAGGTTTTGCTTTGTCAACCAAGCTGACACGTCCTGGAGCTTCCATCTAGACACATGTGTTTGTTCTCGCACCGTGACCCCATCCATTGAATGCCGCCGACAGAACCAGGTAGAAACAGTAAACAGCGAACCCCGAATTGTTGGCCGCCGTTACTTTCGCCTTTACAGAGTCTCACGCAGGCAAACGGCGCGGCGCAGCGGCACCACCGGCACTCCTTCGCGCGCAACCGCTTCTTCGAAAAAAACAAAAAACAAAACAAAAACAAAAAAACGTTATGAAGAACTTTTTTTTCAGGCAAACGTTCATCGCCCGGTCGCCTTTCTGGTGCGCCAGGGGGCGACACTGTTTGAGCGAAAACAGTTCTTCACGAGGGAAAAGAGTTCTTGGGGCGGCGAACCGTTCAAGAATGGATTTTTTTTAGAGTGATAGACGTAGTCAACGCGGGTAACGGCTAGACAAGTGTCACTTCCGATCATGTAAACGATGTTATCGCGAGCAGTCTGAATTCTCGCATTATACCCCAACCACATGGCAAAATTAATGTAATGTTGATCGAATTAATATAGGGGGTCGACAAATCAGCTTTCTGCGCTCGTATAATCACTCAAGACCGCGAGCTGATTAAATCCCATATAAATTAATGAAAGTATATGAACTTTTCCGTGCGTAGATGCGTCTACGCATAACAAAGATCAACAAAAAAACGCTACAAATAAGCGCTTTTTTGTTGAAAGAGGCGTCTACGTGGCGTAACGCCAAAAGCACCTAGTCGGTGCACATTTCTTCCTAATTCGAAAGTGAACAGAATGGGAGCTTGAACAATCATCCAACGTGACAACTCTACCCCTTTGTACAACCTTGACCTTTCTGAAAGTCCGCGAGTTCTGTATAACCTTCCACGAAGAAGATTATACAAAACAGACATGGTTCAGATGCGCTGATGATCATCGGACATCGCTCAAGAACGGCCGACAGAAATTCACCTGATCAACAAAACCCGCGATAACTTTTGTTAATTTTCTATCTCCTCCGCGAGTTTCCTCACATAAAAAAAAAAAAAAACTGTTTTCGATATATTATGAATACAAAGAACGATACTTTCAGGAAATGCAGATAGTCTACTTGCGCTCCTTCCGATAAAATTGCGCGATATGAATATACGCGCTTCTTACTGAAAATGCTCCGCCACTATTAAGAACAAACCTCAGTTGTCATAAGGACCTTTGAACCCTCGTGATGTCTTGATCGTCGAATAGGCGTATCGGACTACAGTTTCCGAAGTAAGGCGGTGCAATGCGACGAAAAACACGAATACCGCTCTCCCCTCCGCGGAGGGGAGAGCGGAACATCAAGTTGAAGCAATCTGATCGCTGCCGCGTCACGTGATTCCAAGATGGCAGCGCCCATGCGGAGGAAGGTAAAAAGGTCTATAGATGTGTACTGCCTAAGAAGAAGCCAACTGAGGCTCCCTAGCCAAGCGACACGTAAAATATGTGCTGTATTTACCAGAATTTATTAACAACAACAACAAAAAGACGGAAGGCTGACACTCAAACGGCTGGTTCGGACAGAGCTTTCAGAACCCTTTCAAAAGGAGACCGCTTGCAGACAGCGTAAAGTGACTCGCACCCAAGCCCAGAGAGGCCACCCAACAGTCCCTTGAGCACGAATTTGGAGCCATCTTGAGCCCTGACAGCCCCACTCAACGACCTCAACATGGCCGCAACGGTAGGGTACCGCTGGACAGCGTCTTCGGTGATCTCACAGACTGCCCTGGTACGGCATTCTTCGGCATCGAGTCCGGTGGCTTTGAGCAGGTCTTCACCGATGGTCGGAGGTATGGCGGCCGCCAGGGTGTCGCCGAAAGCGCGGAAGCCGGTCTGTACCATGGCGCCCAGCGTGGGTACGAAAGTGAGGACGAACAGGAGGAGGTACACGAGGCCGAGGGTCAGGAGCACGGGCTTTAGGCTGCCAAAGAACACCGCCACCAGAGGACCGACGAGGGCCAGAGCCAGAGGGAGGATGGCCACCGGGAGGTTCCGAGCCACGGAGACCTCGCTGCTGGATTCTTCCGACAGGTTGAGGCTGTAAGCTGGAAAGTCGAAGATGACAGACGGCGTTAGACTGGTTCCAGGGGACAGGATGTTTCGTTGTTAACTGACACCGTTGAAAGCTAATAACATGAAATACACCTACGCAGACATAAGGAAAAGGAAGGTAGTCAAGTATGTAGAAAACACTTGAGAAACGATTTGCACTAAGCATGGGCGTCTACAACTTCTTTCAAAGTGGTTGAAAATTCCGGAGGGGGAGTATGTAATTTTTACTTTAGATGGGAGTAACTACAACTGACCACACGGACATTAAAATGTTTTAGTATTATCGGAGTCCTTTCGTCTTACTAGTCTGCTTTCACCTTCGGAAATTAGAGTAACGTCAGCCCGTCGAACTTAGGCGATGATGATTTTATGAACACTATGGCTTCAAACTTGCACCGTCCTCAGTAAAACGGCAATCACTACTTTAGGTGTTTTAGACTTCTACAAGTAGAAGGACAGGGCGACCATCGCGGTTCCCTAGGACGGCTGTTAGCAAGCACCATTTCCTCGCTCGCATTATAAGACAGACGTATCTTTCATAAAACGTTTATCTTCAGTCGCCTAAAAAAAACTGCAGCAAGTACTCTTTTCCTCTGTTTTTACGGTGGGAACCTAACCAGCATTCGTGAGAATTACACGTTTAATACGCCCAAATCTTGGAGCAAACGCAACTCTTGATGCACTTTAGAAGTGCGCCACTCAGATGGAAAGAACGAAATAAAACATCATGTTACCAGGTTCTAGATGCACTCGAGAATAAAAAAAAAAGAAAAATCGCAACTCACCTTGAGAATTTCCGGTAACCGACAGGAAGACAAGCATGGACACCGCAGCAACCTGCATATTCGACGATGGGCAAGGACGGCAACAGCGAAACGACCCGCTGATAATCCGACGATGATATGACGTCTCCTCACCAACGGCACCTCCTTATATAGCCCATACCGGGTCCTCGTCTCGCGCATAAAGCTGCATACCCGGATACAGCATTACCATTGTTCAGACTATGAACCGTAGGTCGGCAAACCTGATCAAGGTCACCCGATGCTTCCGGATTAGCCCGGTACATTTTCGGCCACGGTTCTGCCGTTTTGAGGTGCGTGACCTCGTATCTAGAGGTGAAAGCATGAGACAGTCGTGCTGACTCATTGTTTAACACCGCTGGGTGACCTCGACGTTGGATTCGCTGAAAGGGAGGGTTGGGGAAAGGGTCGACCTTATTTCAAAAGGGCATTGACACAATATTTGTATTGTTGTAATTTGAGGGAAAGGACAGTTGAAAAAATCTGACGAGGACACCTTTTTAACGGATCCCGTCATTTCTCCTAGCGGTGTGTATCCGCACGACCGATGCTTATCTCCGAAGAAAGCCGCGTTTCTTGTCAGAGGGAGGAACGTCCACGTGAATGAACTTGGAGGCGATTCAAAAAATCCGAGTGACCCCCTGCACGACATATTTCGTGTAGTTCAGTCGGATGGGCCTTTCGCCTCATAAACATGTTTGTGAATTTCAAAATTGAAAAAAGGGAAAAAAAAAACAAAAAAACACCGCTCAGCTTAATGCTGCTGACAGTAAACTTTCCCCAGAAGGGGTGATCGTACGAGATGCTAATTCTCCACGGTTCCCCGCGGGCTAATTAACGTAAATTCGTGACAGGCAACACGTGGCCTCAGAACCCGATGATTTTTAATCCTCCCTTTAGAGGAATACTCAATCCTGTTTCAAACTTCCGGCGGTTTGCAAAGTACAGTAAGCGCGATATTTTTTTTTTCCCTGATATACCAAGGAGTGTTGAGACGAATATGAAAAAAGACATAGCACCTTTTCCACGAGGGCGCAGCCATGTTCAATGTCGTCACTTCTGGTATCTGTTAAAACCGAATCCGGCCGATACGTCGAAAGCCCATTAATCGACGGACAACTCGAAGAAGGCCAAATCTCAGAACGAAGAAAAAGCTCACTGGCAATTATTCTTTTTGACCTACATAATTTCTTAGCGACATCATTTCTTCACGAATTTACAAAAAAAGGCTACACGGAGGGAGCAGTTTATGTTTGTAAATCGTCGCTCCTTTTCTAAATGTCGATAATCATTACTGCATTTGCAAGTCAGCGAATCGTGGTAAGGTTTCCTTCTAGGCTGAAATGCACATCGCTGCAACTTTGTTGTAGTTCTTTCGACGAATATTTTTGCAAACGGGCCGTTTCGACAAGCTTCCCGTCCAACGAATTCGCTTAGTGCGAATTTCCCACTTCGACGAATTGTCCATCTGTCAGTTATCCGTCGACGAATGGGCTTTCGACGAATTGTCCTAGACCTTGTTAAAACATCGTTTTGATCTCTCCACACCCCTGGAAGGCGTTCACAAAAAATGCGTGATTGTCAAATATTCTTGTTTTTCCTTATCTATATTTCCTCGCATATTCCAGGTTCAAATGTATTACTCTTTTTTGTCCCGAATTTCAAATGTGGAACCCACGTGATTGAGAACAAAAGGAAAGGAAAAATGTCTATACCCCTACAAATCCCGGAAAAAAGTTCACCCCCTTTTTTGTGGGTCAAGAGAAAGGCTCATCAGTCTTTCGGCAAACTCGGAGAAAAGCTCACTTCGAATTAAAAATATAATTTAAAGTGGTCGTTATCATTAAATAGCAGTAGTGCTACCAAGGTTTAAGCGCCTCTCACAAAGACGGTACTCCGTGCCAATGCAAGAAGGAAAAAAAAGCCACTGGTCGTTGTCGACGGTGTCACGCAGTCTACACACATCGCATCAGGTCGCGTTGCTGTAAGCAAAATAGAAAAAAAATAATGTTCTTAAAACAAAATCAGTTTTTCTTGTTTAAGTTTGATTTATTGTATTTAAGTCAGAATAATATCACTGTAGATAGAAAATATTGAGTCTTTCTTACTATATCATTTCTAAACACAGCAGGTTGTTTGATGAATTCCTCTGATCATTGAAAGCAATGCGGAAAAAGTATCTACTCTTGCAAGTTTAACATGTTTTTGTTCATGAAAGCCCCGCCCTACGAAAACAAAAACAGCGTAATTTTTTTTTACCAAAAAAGTTGTATTTGATTTTTTTTTTTCGATTTGAATTTTTTTGCAATACATCACTATCCTAATTTTTGTTTCTATATTTTGCGCTCTAATTTGATTGCAAGAAAATAAATCGGAAGTAACTTACGAACGAAGTCGGAGGTAGAAAAAAAGCTCAGTTCGTCGATTTTCTCCGAAGATCACTGCTCTCTACTCGTGCTCAGTACCATATAAATATTTCTTTTGCGGTGATTCTTTGATTTAGGTACAGGGCATATGCGCATATTGAGAGCATCAAATTATAAAAAAGTAAATAAATATATATATTTTTATTATTTTTCCAGGAAAAGTTTCACTTAAATCATCCTAGTAAAACCGGTTTGATTTATATCCCAATTTAAGTCATCTTGATTTTCATTTTCCATCCTGACTGTAGCCCTTGTTCCGATTTTATGTCAACGCGTTTCGCCCGTGTGTTACCATACTTAATTTTGACGCAGACGGAGTAGAGGAAATGCGACCTTTTCCTTCATTTTTCGTTCCAATGAGGTAAGAATTGAAACCACTGTCTCTTAAACAAATGGGGAAATTTGAAGATTTGGCAATGCGGTGTTGGTATATATTACATAAAAGGTCATTTCATAAATCAATAACCAGAAGCCACTCAAGCTGCAGCCCTCAACATCTTTATGCCCTCCGCCACCCCCCCCCCCCCCCCCACACACACACACACACCAGTTTTTTTGTTTTCTTTTTTTAGTTAGCGTTTTATTGAAATAGTTAATTTTATTTTCGTGGTTGAACGCCTCACGTGCTAGAGGACGTTTTATATATTAAAAATAAATTTTGCCAGTGAACTGCAGAATGAACGCATGAGCATAAGACACCCCAGCATACTTCAGTTGAGTGAACGCATTTCAGAGAACGCTCGATTCGTAGGTGAGCTTTTCTCCGCATCGGAGAGTTTTGTGGTGAACTTTTCTCTGAACAGCTTTTCTCCGGTGACCTTTTCTCCGCCGCCCACCCGTGAGCAGCTCTCGAGAATAAGAAGCTGCAACTCCGGTTCACCTAATTTGTTTTTCTATTTTCGTTTTCGGGGGTTGTTGTGCTGGCTTCACTATCCTAATTTCACTTGTTCACAACGATGACACTGTATGTGGGGACACCTAATGGGGCATTTACGTTTGCGAAAAAAACAAAAACTGCTGCCGCCGAAGCGAATCTGCGGTAGCGGAAAAGAGGAGGTGTTGATATCTATCTCTGACCAGTGGCGGCCGCATCTCGTTTACACTCGGAGCGTCGCGTCTATGACGAGAAGGCGCGAGAGTTCTTGCAATCTGCTGCTCTCGGTCACTCTCGGAGTCTCTGGGAGTAGCTCCAGTACGTGTATTCCCGTTGTTGACGCTGGATCGAGCACTGCCGTGCTCGTTGCGTCACATAGGAGGAACCCCGCAAAGATGGTCAAGTTCTACCGCAAAGAAAACGAGACTACGGCGATTAGGTGTTTTCTACTTCGTACGTAGCAGGACACGGAGCGCGAACCAAAGAAGCAGTCGTGCACCGTCGGCGGTGGTGATTCAAGTGCCTTCACCTGTGTCGTGGACGAGCTGAGCTCGTCAGCCACTTTCTGGCTGAAAATGCCGTGGACGAGCTCATCTCGTCCAGTGGTTTTTTCGGTAGCCCTCGAGTAGTTTTGCGGCGCTGATCATAGATGACAGCACTCGTTTTAGTTGGCAAATATTTTTTTCGCCTCCGCTGATTTTTGCGTAATAAACTTTTCAAATGTTATGTGTAACACTAGAGGAATAACAATTCAAAATAAAAAAAGATGGCACTTTTAGGTTACTTTTGGAAACAAAAACACATTTGGCACTTAAGGGGTTAACAAGACCGCGATAAGAAAAAAGGAAGTCGCCCTCTGCCATTTTTGTTCTTTCTTGTCTTTGCGTGTGATTCAGCTGAATTGTTCCCTTGCCGTGGGCGGTGATGTAATTGTTAAGAATTAAGAGGATGAAGACACCCTCTCCGCGGAGTCACGCACCTCGAATGAACGTACAATCCTTTGTTTCAAGTGGACTCTTCCCAAATAATTTACTGACCTTGTTTTGGGGATCCGCTGGTTCCCCTTTGTTACTTCGTCGCTCCAGGGTTATTTCTTGTGTAGTAGAGGGATGTGGTGTTTGAAGAATGCGTGTTTCCTTCAGTCGTGTGCCTATCTCGAATACTCCACACAAAATACTGCATTTCAGTTCCTTTTGATGGTAAGTAGGTATCTCGCAAATATATTTAATCGAAAGTGTTTGTTACCCCATCTTAATTACATTTCTTAGTACCTTTTACTCATAAGCGTAAATAAATATTTCAGCCTAAAAGAAATACAGAAGACATGCACCTGCATATTTTACGGAAATAGACATCGGCACATTCTAGCCTACCCTACCCCTAAGATCAGCCGATAGCAAATTTGAAGCGGACTAGATCGCACAATGAACACGAAACAAGCCAAGACCAAAAACGCAGATTCGAAATGCCATCAAAAGAACAACTATACTTCGTTTCACACTAAGTCCAGACAAAGCCGACGCTACGAATTGATGAAACCATTTAGACAGCGTCGAAAGCGCCCTATCGTGGTGTTCCTCATGTTTCTGTACGTGTTCTATCATCGCTGAATGGGTGGTGCACAAAATATTGAATACGAGTCTAGGACTTTTCGGTGTAGGGCGTTTTGGTGCGGACGTTTCGGTGCACGGACTTTTCGGTGCACGGACGTTTCGGTGCACG